AGGGCTTTCCAGTCACCAGGACTGTCACTGATTTAGCAATTTGCATATACTAAAATTCACTGTAACAGCATTGGAATGCCATTCAGTCAATAAAGCTCTTTTTGTAAATTCCTGGAAAGATAATTAGTTAGGTGACATGACGTCAAATATTGTTAGTCTTAAAATGAAAACACTGTGAAGGGAGCATAGATTTTTCTGGGTTTGTTTTTTTACACATCTTTTCAGTTTTGCAAAAGCAACAGATCAGCTATTACAGATGCTGTTTGCCTTCCCCCTCCAGTACCTGTGGCTGGGTGTCTGGGTGACTGTCACGGAGTGATGTGTTGTTGAGGTGTAGTGGCTTGTAGAAAATGAGGTCTCTGTTTCTCGCTCGATGACATGCTCGCTGGAGATTACGTTTTTTGAAACGTACTGCTGAAAAAAAGCAGACAAACCTCAGGTTTACAAACTGTAATTCACAGCACATTTGCAGACATAATTTTCAATCCCCCCACCCTCCCCCCCAAGTCACAGTTTTTTACACGTGCCAAAGCACAAACTTTGTCCCTTAAATATAGGCAGAAACGACACTGACACACTTGAGCACATGCATGTATACCTCTGCATACATAGCCCATCTAAACTCAAAGTAGGAGGAAACAAATGAGGAAATTAGCAAAGGTCTGCATCCCAATCAGGCTATAACTCATAGACAGGAGGAAAAAATTCTTCACTGAGAGGGTGGTCAGTCACTGGAACGGGCTTCCCCCAGGACCAAGCCTGTCAGAGTTCAAGGAACATCTAGAGGACGCTCTTAGTCATATGGCTTAGTTTTAGGTAGTCCTGCGAGAAGCAGGGAGTCGGACTTGATGATCCTTATGGGTTCCTTCCAACTTGAGATATTCTATGATTCTATATGTATTTAACAAGGGAATGAGAAGCCCTCATGGATACAGACCTGGAAAGGTAACCCGCCCTTTACTACCAGATGATACATCAAAAATACTATTCTCTGATGGAGAAGACAAGAGTAGTTAGCAGTAGCAATTGTTCACTTCAGGATAAGAATCTGGGCAGGAAATGGCTATTTTCAGTGCTCGTGGATGCAGCACCAGGGCAGACCTACTTATCAAGGGATGATCTGCAGAATGGGCCAAAGCATCCTGAGATGGGGCTGGAGGTGTGCAGTGCCCAACCTCCCGCACAGCTTTCATCTGGAGCCTCCCCCCCGCCCAGTGCTGTTGCTGGTAGGACTCTCTGTTCTCCTCAGTGGCGACTTCTGGTTTCCCCTCTCTTAATAATCTGACCGTGGATTTAAGTCTTTTGAGAGAAAATATTGGAAGCTGAGCTCTTCTGAAAAGGTGTCTTGGCCTTAACCAAGGTCATTGGGAGTGCTGCCATTGACTTAGCAGAGCCAGGGCTCAACCCTGCCATGAGCTGTCATGAATATGTACAGTGATGGCGGAGCAGGAGAGCAGGGATGGCTCGAAGAGGCAGGAAGCCAACGATCCCTCTGGGCACCAGGCTTCCTGGGAATGGGAGGAGAGGAGGAAGCGCCTACAGGCAACGCAAGCCCTGGCCTCTAAGGCGAAGGGGCTTGGCCAAGGGGTTAGTTGAAGAGCAACTCTCTGCTGCACTCTGACAAATGGCTGGGGGATGCTGGTGGAGTATCTGCCCCAGCCCTGTCTCCCCAGCCACTGCTACTGTTCAGGTGAGATCTTCATTCAGACTTTTACCCCTGAGTTCATAAATGTCACATTCCTGATCCAAGGGGGCTGTCCCTACTCACCAATCATCAGGCCAGGGACAGTAGGAAGAGCAAGACATGTGTGTTTGAAGAAATTAATCCCTACAGCACCTAGCCCTGCTGTAGAGCCGTTAGTATTTTTTTCTGAGGTGTTTTTCTTGCTTTTGGTGTCCTAGATCCACAGGCACAGCTGCAGCACTGCGGAATGCCCCAGTAAACTGGCTGCCTGCAGAAACATATCTCATTTTACTGCATATTTTTTGCAAAGTCCCTAATTGTTTCTGAGTGGAGAAAGCCAAGAGAATTCATTCACCAGCCTGCAGCAGGTAGAAGTTTAAAAGCTGCAGGGCGAGCTTTGCTGTGGCACTGGCAGCTTAGGCTGAAACACGGGCAGTAAAACCTACATTCACCAGCTGGACGTTATCCGGTGGCGGGTTGGGGTGGTGCGGCCCGTTGGCCATGTTCATCACATTGTTCCTTTCCGAGCGCAGGCTCTGCCGAAGGCGGTCGTGCAACTTTTTCCTCTGCTTCCTATGCACAAAACACGGAAATGATTTTAATAGACAAAGGGAAAGCAGCTGTACCTTTCAGCATGTTGATGATGATGATAATAATATAACATCACTTTTTTTGCCAGCACTTTCCCCACCACTGCACGATCTCAGATTAACTCTGAAGACCACAGGTCTAATTGCAGCTGGAGCTGTGGGGACCTGCAGAGGGGGAAGGATGTGTGGGAACCCTTCCAGGAGTCAGCAGGCCACAGAGGGATGGGAAAAAGTGCGAGGAAAAGGGAAGCCATTTCTAAGCCATGCTCCGTCTCAGGAGGAGCTCTTTTCTGCACTCAGAAAGGAGGGGGGAGGGATCCACCTTGACACCCTCAACATGGCCACAGCCAGGTTTCTGACAGCCCACTGGGTTATTTTTCTCCATTCACCACACGGAGCGGAGGGGGCCTCACCTCAGGGCTTGCTTGGTGGCCATTGGAAAACAGGGCATGTGCCACAATCTTTGTGATGTGGCAGCTACACAGTTTTTTGTGGGATTCATCCCCTACCTCAACAGTGCACTCCAAATACATAAATGTGTTAAAGAAGTGACGGGTGCAGAGGAAGCTCCAGAAATCCAAAGTGAGTGAGTGTGTGAGGTATGCCTGAGCTTGCAGCCATCCTGGCAGCTCTGGAAGGTTTTGTTACAGCAACATCACATTAACTCTGGAACCTAATGATTACCAGCAGGATGCCAGGGCTGCTAATGCATTCAGTAGAACCATCCATCAACCACACGTACTAATGGCATGGTGTCTGGCTGACTTGGATGCTTCTACTGTGCCCCATCCTTAGCTGCTCCTTCCCCAGTTGCTAATTCTTCCAGCTCTCCTCAAAAGAACTTTTCAGGAGACCATTACAAGCTGTCAGTAACAAAACTTGCATCGTAGTAAAACCTGGTGCTGTGAAGGCCACGCAGAACGCACTAAATAGAACACGAAAATAAATAACCGGGGAAAGAGCTATTCTATTTCAGACTTAATTTATTCATATTCCCCAGTTTTGTCTGATTATACTGGAGAACTTCCACCATCCTGCCACAGAATCCAGGGAAATGAAGGGAGGATGCAGGCTCCAATGCACTGCAGAGCGCATATGACCTTGGCTGTGGCAAGAGCTAAAATACACACAATTCCCTAAGCCGTACGCAGAAGTGCAGACAGTTTTGGCAGGGCAGGACAGTGTAAGATATAACCATTTTCAATCCTGTTTTGGACTCAAGGGGATTATTCCAAGCTTTCCAAAAAGAAGCAAGGAGGGAAAATAATAAATATGTTGAAGCTTGATAGCCAGGGAAGCTTAAAGACAAAGAAAACATGACTTGACACACTGCATTTTACATGTTTTCTCTGTGTGTATGTGGCTGGATAGTGGAAGATGTTTAATTTATGTCACTCCACATGAATGGTATAAGCAGACACGGCTGCCTTGGAAATGCTCCTGTTTCAGCATCTTAGGACACACAGCTGATTAAGGCGGATGGAGAGTACAGTGCCAGCAGATATCTGAGCAGCTACCCTACCTGCCTGGGCTGAGAAGCAGCACAGACAAGGGTCTAACTTGATTTCACAGCACCCCTTCATGAGACCTTGGAGACCTTGGGAGCTGAGGACAACCCGAGCCCCCTGACATGGTAGAGAAAGTGGGTTCTAGAGGGAGTTTGAGTTCATCATCTATGGGTCTGAGATCCTGGCACATATTGCCTGGGAATCTGTCCCTATGAAACCGCATTACTTTCCACCGTCAGTGATCAATGTATTTGTATTGTGCATGCTCCCATGTCTGCCATTTGTCCTCTAGTAAAAGGACATTAACTAAAAAAAGAAATTACTCCAGGAAACTGAGAAGAAAGAATAATGGGAAAGCTAATGTGTACTCCACTTATTCTGAGAAGCCTTTCCCTTAATGTAAATGACTTGCAAATAAAGCACCTCTGAATTAAGACTCAGTGTCAGAAGATACAGCCTTAGCATTTGACCAGTAGTATCTCTTGCAAGGAGACCAATAAAATCTAAGCCATTACATTTTATTTAGGGTGTTCTCCTAACACCATTCCAGGGTTTCCCCCAGTTTCTGTTTTTTCCCCTATTAGCAGGAAAGAGCATGCGGGTAACATTTCACAGATAGCAGTCTGGCATCACTGCTGCATTTGGAGGGCCATGAACTGGCAGATCACTTTCACTCTCATCAGCTGTGTTTGAAAACATTTCACATTTGGCTGGCAGTAATTACTGATATCTGGGGCAAACTGTGACAAAGCATCCAGACCCCTGACGGATTCTGGGGCTCTTTATATAGAAAACGGTACTTCAGGACCCTGACTAAATGTTTGTTGAAATTCATGGGGATGTCTTGGCTGATTTCAATGAACTTTGGACCAGGAAAGATATCATTTAGCTGCCCTAGCTTGCCAGTTGTAATTTCTAAAAGCAGTAATTGACCTGATTCTTTATTACTGTTCCAGTCATTCCCCACTGACCACTGGCACAAGGTTGTGGGTGGGAGCAGCGTGTGCATGTGGCTGGACTCTCACTGAGGGGGGCAAATGATTCCCCTCTTCCCCCCCTTTTAACACATCCATTATTGGTGGGGCTTACAAGGAAAACCAACAACCCAACTGCCAATCAAGCCTTACAACAGTAAATCAGGTTTATACAAATGTGGAAGATTTATGATAAGGGTTTTCTGTGTTTTGGTGGGGAGATTTATAAGAGCAGCCAGAAGTTCTGGCAGCCCAAATCCTGCTGATGTTCAGTGTAATTTATGGTCCAGAGCATCTCATGCATGTTTGAGAGTCACTCCCAGTAATTTACAGACTCACAGAATGCATTTAAGTGTCTACTTTTGCATTGGGAGCACTTTTGTGTTCAGTTCTTTGGCCTTTGGTGTTTAGTAACTTTTAGCACTGTTAATCTTGCCTCAAGTACAAATAAACTAGACTGATATGTAAAATTTACTGCTGGAGAGCAACATGATTCCAGTGTTGGGGTTTGTTCCTTTCCAGCTGGGGAAACCAGCTGGAATGGGTGACAGACGAAGAATTGCAAATCAGTGAAATTCGCTCAAGTTACGTTTGAAGGGTGAGAAACCTTCCAGATACCTGTCTTATTTTTGCACTGCTGAGGGACACGGAGACGTGCGCCCCTCTGGCTTGGACCAGAGCACCCTGGCCACAGGTTTGTCTCTTCAGGTCAGCTCTGGAGAAACCCAGATAAAGTCTTATGCTCAGAGGAGTAGAAGCTACAGGGAAGGCCCTGACCAACAACCACAGATTAAAAAAAAGAAGAGAAAAGTTTACTTGGTTTTGCAGTAGGCCACCACACACATGATGCCAACTACTAGAAGAGCAATGCAAATGCCAGTTATGGTCAGCATCCGTTTCTGATACAGTTCCTCAGCTTCTAGAAAGGGACAAAAACAGAGAAGGTCACAACATGGAGGATCGCTAGGCAAGGAGCACACAGTCAACAGCTGGCATGCTACAAACCACTGCACAGATTCACACAGCCACACCAAAACACACTTCAGGCAGACTCATTACTGACTGCAAGGAGAACAGGACTACACCATAAGCTCTTAACACAGTACTGGGGACGAGTGGTCATCCGTACATTTACAGTCAAAAGTAATTTTTTTTTTGTTCAACAAGAATAATATCTAAGAAACAACTTCACAATTGAGAAACACTCAGCATTTGCTGGAAATAAAAATGCAATGCACTAAGGTAATAACATGAATTTGCAAATGCTTTGGAAGTTTTACTCTGCAAAGACAGCTGGAATGAAGGCAAATTTTATGGGCCTTAAGAGAAATTTATTTTCTTATTATCTTTTTTGGATTGTTTTCATATCCAATATCCCTCTGCCCCTATGTCAATTTATATCTCAGTTGTCTTTACAGGAAAGATTTCAAAATATCCTTCTATATTTGAGACAAGAGCTTGGCTTGTAATTATATGACCAATGAAAATTAAGGCAGGTTTTGAGCTCTGGTCATAAAATTCAGACCCTTTCTCCAGTGCTCCTCCAAAAACACAGCACTATCAACAACCAGCAGTGCCTTGTATCAGAGAAATGCTGGATTTCTATTTGTGTGTCTTTTGTCCAACAAAGGAACTGCTTTATCTAGAGTGGCAGCTTTCTCAGTGATGACAACTTGTTACCGATCTCGTTCACCAGAGATATTTCACTATTATAAAGACATTAGTAGCACTGGTAGTGTTTGGGTTGGAGCTACCCATGCATTCCAGCCTTGCTCATGCTTGGCAAAGAGCATCGCTGCGTGCTGTGCTGGGGAAACATTATGTAAGGAGCGCTGAAACAGAGGCGCATTCTCTGTTGATGCTTTACGGATGTGGATTTGCATTCCCGCTTTTAGGACAAAAATGGGTGTCTAGCTTTTCTCAAGTCTTATTTTTGATTAAGCAGACAGTCCAGAAGACTTTCCCTGGAGGATCCAGACCGGAGGGTGGCCTTAGGTCAGACTGCAATATTGACCACAGTCAGAATACCAGCAGGTGATTAAAAATAAATGAACGAACATAAAAATATTTAAAAAGAAAAGCTGCATTGCTCTGCATTACCTTTGGGATAAATGTCAGCTTTATTCTTGCTGGAAGGGATTTACATGAACGTAAAATGTTTGTGGGGCAATTCACCAGGAAGCACAGGGATGCACGACGTTCCCTCACATGTGCCATGAGTCTTTGTCCAAGCACAGGCACTTAAATGATGTGCTGTCATAAATGCCACACCAGTTCAGGAGAAAATGCTCCTTACTGAAGAGGGAGCAGTCATTCCACCAATCTGTTTGCCAGGCTTATCTAGTTTAGTTTTGAAGTTGCTGTAGGCAAATGGCAAATATGCCATGCAACAAACCACAAAACAAAAAGAAATCTTGATGTCTCTGATACAATGCACCTTACCATGGAATGAATTTGTCCTACAAGCCAAACCCACTGTAAACCAAAACACCAGCAAACAGGTCATGAGCACTGTCAGACAAAATTAATAGCACCGATTATTAACAAGGGGGGAGGAGGAGGGGAAGAAGTGAGTTTGGTAAAACTAGGATGCTGCAAAAAAGTATTAAAGAAAACAAAAATATAACTCCAAGAACAGAAAGTCAAAAAAGGGAAGGAAGAAAGGGCTGAAAACTCCAAACCAAACCAAAACTGGAGAAAGAGAAAAAGAGGAAGGTGAAATAAAAAAAAAAAAGACAAGGTTACAGGGTTGAGAAGTCAACTGCAGGCCTGGCACAGCATGCTTGATACTGGAAAAAACAGAGTGAAGAAATGCTTGGGGACAAAAAAAAAGGCTGAAGCAGAGTGTGAAGGGATTTCTCATACAGCATAACTCCTCACCTAGGCTAGTTAGTGGCACTTGATCCCCTTCCCATTTTTGCCCCTTCTGAAAGCGCTTATTAGTTAGCCATGGAAATGGTGTATTATGAGGATGTCACAGGAGACAGAATTGCGCTAAGCAATTTAGGGGCAAATTTGAAATGCTTTGAATTATTATTCTTTTTTTTTTTTTTTCTGTCATGCTGTCAGCTGTTAGCTTGTGAAAGCAAAATGAATAAGGGCACATGAACCCATTTTTCTTGGAAGGGAAGGGAGAGGAGGAAGAAGACTAATTAACACTGGAAACTCTGCTTGGTTGTTTATACCCAGGGAAAAATTGCACTAACTCCAGGAGGTTTACCCAGGCTGAGGCTGTTGCAAATGAGCTGGGCGACTGGCCGGTGATGGCCTTGCTAAGGCTGCCACTGGGCTGACGCTTGTCACTTGTGTGTTGCACGCTCCTGGGCTCTCACCCAGTGCAGGGGAGGGGGGTGCAGTGAGGGAGCAGGGCTGTGGGTGCAGCCCTGAGCAACACTTCTTGCACCGGCAGGTCTGCTGGAACTGTAGGTCTTGAGGGGCATGGAGAGGTAAACCCCTGGGTCTGCTGTCATTGCCTTAATTCCCTCCCCCACACTTTGAAACAAGGCCCTCAGAACAATCCAGCTTGACACGATGTGCATGAATAGTGGTGCCGCCCTGCCCTCCCACCCCCCATGCCTGGGTGTCCTGTGGGGGCCTCTGCGGGCGGCAGGGGATGCTGGTGGCCAGGCTGGGCTGGGGATCCTGGCCATGGCTCTGCAGGCGGCGTGGTGCCTCGTGGTGCCACCTTGGCCTCTCTGTTAAAGAGTAGAAGAGTTTTGCGAAGCAGGGACCAAACTCCTGCAGGGCATGTGCAGTTATATAGGGTCTCGCCCCAAAACTGCCCTCTCTCTCTGACAGGTGTTAACATTTACAGGGCCAGTTAATGACATCCAGCCAAATAACACGTGCTGTGTTTGCAGTGCTCATCAAACTAGCTTGAAAAAAATTAATAGCAGCCTTGGGGAAAAGTCCGTAGAGAAATGTATGTGCAGTGAGAATTTAGAAAAGGTTTTATCCTGTTAAGTATTAAAAATCTTCTGAATACATTTATTTCCCCTGCAGAATGCTAGGAAAATCAAATCAACGTGAGACTTAAGTCAAGATATTAAATCCCTCTATGTGCAGCCTTTTGAACATTCACATTATGCAATTAATTTCACATCACCCTAATTTATACATAATTGATGATATATATGGTCTTAAATTTGCTCTGTTCTAAAGTTTTTCTTCTTACAGGTCTCTGGGGATTTTTAAAAGAATTTCATTCCAAGAGGTGGTTCCACTGATGTAATTTCATATATAAAGCAAAATTTGCAAGTCAGTTTTTTAAAGGATTTTAATTTAATTCCTCATATGTTAATGTTGCCATATATCTTCTACTATAATTTAGTACTTATGAGTGAGAATTAATGTTATCTTGTGATAATAATAATAACAACAATAAGCTGGGTTGTGAGAGATTTTTAAAGTTTGGACTCGTAATGGGTTTTCCACAGTTCACAGCTTAAGCTAATGACATTTTGTGGGGGCATTTTTAATAAGAACATGAACTAAAACTGTGTGAAAAGCATTACTGGCTGGTTCTTCTCATTTGCTGACAATTTTAGGAGATTCCAAACTAAAACTGACCTGAATTCCAAGTTAGCCTATTCAAAAGATGCATTATTTGTACCCCTGATTACTAAATGTTAGTCAGATAAGTACAGTCTATTCATGAAGAGGACTTATAAGATTTACTTATATTACATTTAAGCTGAAGTGTAAATATAGTACCCACTGCCAATGTTCTTGGTTGGGTGCAACATGAGTTTGGTATTAGAAATTTTGAATATATTTGTTCACTTGAGGATCTGGAGTCTAGCTGTAAACCTCTACTTAAGTTCCTAAATAACTTTCAGTTCACTTCTAATTTACAGACCTAGAAATGAATGTATATATGCATATCATTTACATATATGTATATGCATCTGATTTACATACCTAGCTGTGGGTTTAGACATAAAACTTCACTTGGAAACCAGAGCTTAAAACTGTAAATTTGCCAAATTTTAAGTGGCTATAAGAGCTTATCTTTTTTTTATAGACTAGTTAGTCATTTTGCTTAATACTTTCAGTGTTTCCAAAATCCAGCAACCCCAGAAGAACTTCGCAAAAGCAAATGTCAAAACTAGTCAAAATTACACAGCAGAAAAATGAATGTACACTCTGATATCATTACTTCAGTAATTCCTAGAACTCCCTTAAGCCTGGAATATCCTGTCACTATTACCATTTTAGTGACCTGATCTCCACTAACATTTTGATAAGGGTTGTTGTTATAGCTGTATGATCCCTTCTAAAGCATAAAGAAATTGGTTAGGAATTGAAAAGGGGAGGTGGAGGAAAAAAATAAAAAGGGGGGTTTATCTCTCAGGGTCTAAAATCTGCAGGCTAAAAGGAATGATTGGTCCATACCCATAAATTCAATCCCAAGATGCTCTGCCAATGCAGAAAGTTGACAAAAAAAAGAAAGAAAAAGGAAAAAGTTTCAGAAAAGAGCAATACACTGTACTCAAAAATAAATCACATATGAGAATTACGGCTATTCTGTGTCTGCACATGAAACAGGACAAAGGGGTGTATGCTTATGTGGGCAGTGCTCAAGTGTGCCTCTGTAAGCTACAGGACCGGACCTTCTGCAAGGGTTACACACCAAAATACGTATGGGGGATCTGAACAGCCACAGTGCAGGGAATGCAGCAGGAACCATTAACCCTTAAAGATCTTACTAAGATGAAGGGGGCTATGGCCTGAGGACACCATGTGAAATGGCTGATGGGACCATGAGAGCACAGGGATGCTTTACAAGGGGCGGCATCCCCCTGCAAATGGGTCGTGGATTGCCCCCCCTTCTGGCCCTGCTCGCGTCCCTGGTATGTGGCTCCTTGCTCTTGTGGGTTGCGACCTGGAAGTGGCCAGCACTGTCTGCTCAGCAGTCGGAGCCCTTCTCAGCTTTGCAAACTCACTGCAGCAGCGTTCTCATTTCTGGAAAATGAGAAGCCAATCTCTTTTCCCCTGCCTTTGGGCTGTGCTGCCTCGGCAGAACCAGCCGCTGTCTGGCTGGATGCACGCTGGGGTGCAGGGGCTGATGCCATTTACATGGACCACATGCCTAAATTAGCACTCCCAGGCCCCAGCAGCAGGGGGTGAGGAGGAACACAGGTTTCGCCCCTGGCAGGTACCCTAGGAGACCCTTCTCATGGGGCCAACACCATAATCGTGCTGGCTCTCCCTTTCTTTGTCCTTGTGTGCTGTGAAATTTAAATCCAGTCCTCATTTTCTGATCAAATGGATTTTTTATGTAGTTTGTACATATGGGGAATGCCAATTCTTTCCTGCCAATCAGTAACATTTTAAGGGTTAAGTAAGTTGGAATCCATCCAGGTCTCTTCCTAAAGAGCCAGAATTACATGCCTACATGTACACTGCTAATGATATACATTAGTTGCATAGAAAGCTTGGTTAAGTCTTCAACAAAATGAATGACATGCCCATGCATATATATTGCTGTGTTTATGCTTGCTTATAGGTAAGACACCTAGCCTAGATGTAATTTAATTTTAGGGGAAGTCATTCATATCATGCAGTTTCTATTTCAAATAATTCAATGGGAAGTTGGTACTTAAAATGGGAATATATTCTGGCTGAAAGTCCTAACAAGAAAACATGCTGAAGAAACATGCATTGCTTATTCAAAACTAAATGTCATGTAGCTCTTATTTATCTTTGGTATTCCTAGCTACATTCCCTAGACCTGACTAAAAGAAAGCAGAATATCCCAACACTTCTCATTTTATAAACAGGTCGTTATTTTTGATCTTTTCCTATCTACCCAATATTGTTGCATACTTTTTACATGCAATGTGGTTTCTATTGAATATTTGTCCAGGTGCTCTAAGAAGAA